CCCAGCCGCCGCCGCTGCGGCCACCGCCCTAGGGGACCTACGGACAGGACGCCGGCAGGAGGAGGGGTGCGCAGCGTCCGCTCACAGTGTCCCCTCCAGTGCGCAGCGAGACCCAGGCCTCCGGGCCCCGAGAGTCCCTCGCCGCCTAGCCGGCTGCACGGGGCTGAAGTTTTTGGAGAAGGGAGCCCAACTCTTCAAGGTAACTGCCACCTTCCCTCCAGGGAAAGGCTCTCTCCCGGCATCCGGCAGAAGTGCTGGGGTGCGCGCCTCGGTGCTGGGGGCTGCGCCTCCTCGGCTGCCTCGGTCTCCCCGCTGGAGCTCCGCATATCCCAGCGGCATCAGCAAAGGAGTTGAGCAAACTTTCCGGCTCCAGCAGACTCAGAGTGAATGGGGCTGAGGAACGCGGGAGGAGGGGCTCTTGTCTCCTCAGCCCAGAATGAAGGAGCAAGGAGCTTTGCGCCAGCCGCATTCCGGGGTGCGTTCAGTTCCTGGGGCGGAAGGATATAGGGATGAGCAGTACATACCTAAGGTCAAGGAAAAGTGAGTTCAAATCTCCGCGGTGCCTCTTTGGATCTGGTGGAGACTTCATGTTACTGAGTCTGTCACCTGGGAATGGGGACTCCCTCTTGGTGGCGGGGTGGGGGGCACGAAATGATGTGGGCAGCAGGCCAGATACCAGCACGTGCCTGAGCAGGGATCCCGCGTCCTTGATCTCTTGGATTAGGGCAGGGCCGCCGGGCACCTGAGGAGGTGGAAAGGGCTGGACGGAGACTGGCAGAACCTGAGGCCGGACAGGGCAAGCCCGGCGCAGTGCTCCAAACATGCCCAGGTCCACCAAAAAGGGATATTCCTCAAGTCAAAAGAGAGAGGGAAGGCCACTTTTCCCCATTCTGGGTTCCTCTAAAATGAAGCCGAGGATGGTGGAGCAGGAACCCTTGCCAACCCTGGGGGTGGGTAGGAAGCTGTCACTGTGTCAGCTGAACCCACACTCTAGGCCAGAGCAAGCTCCGGGGGTGGCAGGCTGCCTCTGGGTGCGAGACAGGCTCCAACCCAAACTTCTCCATCATTATCCTCCTTGCCATCCCGAAGGCAGGGGTTCCAGTAGGGTTTCCTCCTGCAGAAGCACCCGGCGTTCTGGTTGATGTGTGGATCCCGGGTCTGTGGGGGTGGCTGCCAGGAGGCACAGGAGCAGGGTGCAAAGCTGAATTGGGTGAATGGGGTGCTTCCGACCCTGGTGTAGCAGTGGATGCAGTTTGGGGAATGCTGGGCCTCCGAGGCACAGCTGTCACTTCTCATCCCATGACGAAGGCACAGGAGCCCAGAGAGGTGCCATTGACTTGCTAAAGGTGTGGCTGAACAGCAGACACGGGGCGAAGGGCTGGGTTTCCTGAGCCTGTAGCCAGACACTCATCCTGACTGAAGAGTCTAGAAGTCTTCTGGGCTCTGGCTTTATCTCTCTTCCTGGCTTTCTGGGTTGCTGTGGACAAGGAGCAATCCCGTTATCTGTGTGCCATTGGCAGCGTGGTCTCTGAGGTGCTGGGAAGATAGATGGGCGTGTTGGCTGTGGATCGCTGAGCCCGGGAACTGGGGGGGGCGGCAATGGGAGAAAACCTCCCCTGGCTCGACAAGGATGGGAGGTGGGTACGAGGTGTTTCTAATCTGAAAGGCAAACTGCATAAAAAGTTTTAAGGAAGGAATGATCAGAAAGAACAAAATGCTGGAAACTCCAAGATGCTGGAATTATTTGAGTTGTGTTTAATTTAGATACATTTATGTGTAGTTCCTAGCACCAGGGCCTGATGAGATATTCATTCACCTCCCGAGTGCCACCCAGATGCCAGGCTCTGTGCTCATCATGGGTACTCAGTACACAGTACTTGACTCAAGCAAAACACTTAGCTCAGTGCTCACAACCAGACAAGGACTCTACACCTGTTTGATTTTTTTTTTTTAGTACCGGGGATCAAACTCAGATCCTTGTGCTTGCAAGGCAGGTGGCAAAATCACTGAGCTAATTCCCTGGCCCTGATATTGTTATTATATTAAGTAGTCTTCCTTTTCCTAAAATTTTCCATGAAAATCATCCTTACATAATCATACTTACATTGGAATTCTCTCTTTATGTTTGAAAGCCCTCATCACACCCTGCCTGGCTAGCCAACTCCTGCACACATCCCCGTCCCAGGAGTCTCCCCCACTGCATACCAGGGGGCACACTCTGTCCCCACCTGCCCACACCTGGCTGCAGAGGGAGCTCTGGGAGTGCATGGTGCACAAGGCAGACCTAGGTTCAAATCCCAACACAGCCACTCAGTGACTATGTGACTTTGATGAGATTACTGAGTTTCCTTGAGGCTGAGTTTCCTTTTCTCAAAAAGAGGCAAAAAACCTCCAGGAATAGATTTTTGCAAGGATTAAAAGAAGTAAGCTGGGCACATTGGGCATGCCTGTAGCTCAGCACTCTAAGGCTGATCAAGAGGATCTCAAGTTCAAGGCCAGCCTGGGCTACAAAGGGGGACTGTCTCAAAAATAAAACACAAAACAAGACATAATGTGGGTGCCTTGTCTTGCCTTCAGGAGGCCCCACAAATCTGTATTCCTCAGTGACAGCTCTCAGGCCCCCTTGGGATCACAGGCTGTGAACTCAGGTTGGCACAGGTTTGGAATATTCTCTTAAGAGTGTCCCAACTTTCAGTGTGGATATTTTTGAAACAGTGCCTTCTCAAATGGGGTCCTTCCCAAGGTCCTTCTGGTTGGGCACCAGGCTGAGCCAGAGGAAGCCTGCAGGTCTCTGCGTGGAAACCCAGTTTTAGTCTATCTCTGTCTGCAGGTATATCTAAGATAGGATTTGTCCCACTGTAGCCTGTAACACCAATTTAGTGGGGATTTTAATAAAACAGGAAAGAATAAATAAGCTTGTAGTGCATCCCATGTAGCTAAGGGTAACTATTGTTTCTGGAAACTTATTCCCTGTTGTGTATTTTACAACTCTTTGAGAGTATAAATGTTCGTGGTTGGTATATATATGTATATATGTAAATGTATGAAAATTTGATATTTGCATAATGTGTTTCTTGTTGCAAGCTGTGGTTCGAAAAAGTTTGAAAGACACTAGTTGCATGACACATTTCTATCTCTGAAAAGTTCCTGCTTGGTGGCTTCAGGTGGCAGGTACCAGGGTACCCTTGCTGCAACTATACTGACACCTGCCTGACTCTCAGTGACCAGGAGTAAAGCCAGCTAGAGATGGAAGCCTGGGTTATGGATGAAAGGCAAGTTCAAGAAAGAGGACTCAGAGTCAGAGAGGAAGCAAGGCGTTCTGCTTACAAGGGGCTTACAAGGGGTTCTGCTGGCAAGGGGCACTGGAGAGGGGACAGCTGAGTGCTGTCCTGGGAAGGGATCTGAGGGTAGAAGCACATCTTGTCACTGTCTCTACATCTACCCTCTCTCTGTGAAGGGGTCTGGGCACAGCGTAAGGGCTGGAGAGGGAGCAGGAGTGCAGTAAGAGGACCAGAGAGCGGAGGAATTTGCAGGGAAACCAGTAAAACAGTTCCTTTTTTCAAAAGTTGAATCCAGGGCAAGAACGGAAATATGTGAGTTTACTTTTAAAAAACTCAGAGCCTCCTTGTAAGCAGTGGAGTGAGTGTGTGTGTGTGTGTGTGTGTGTGCACTGGAGGGCGGGCCCTGTGGGCTGGCTGGGGTGTGTGAGAGGCGAGTTTGCTCCCTCTCAATGGCCTTACAGTGTATCCTAAAGAAGCTTTTTGTTAAACTCATGAATAGGTGGATTTGGGGTGTGTGATGTTGGGCATCACGATTTGGATATTTGGTTACCTTTGAGGTTACATGTTTTTCATTTTAAGATGTCCACCCAAAAAAGGAGCTATGTCTCTGATTTTGCAGAGAGGGGCTGACTGTCTCAGTAATTGATTTGATTTGAGGGGTGAGAGTAAGAAAGGGAAAGACAGGACAAGGCACCCAGCAGTGCCCGGCCTGGGGACAACCCTTCTTCAGCTCCTGGGCCTCTGGCTCTACCCAGACCAGATGCCCAGGGTTTCAGGGCCTGTGATGACCCTTAACACATCACAAAGGGGTCTCCAGAGCCAAAGAAGGGAAGGACTGTAACCTAGGCCACTCTGGAGCAGATTGGTGGGGATGTGCATGAGAATCTAGATGTTCAGGCCCTCATCCTAGAACACTCTGTGTCCACAGAGACCATTCATTCATTCACCTTTCAGTAGTACTTGCTGCTCATGAGGTATTATGCTCAGTGTGGTCTGCACAGCAAGAACAAACCGGTTCGTTCTTCTTGCCTTCTGCCTGTGCCTTCCACCATCTAATGTAGAGATGGGGCTGTGATCAACTTGACCCTGACCCTTCATTTCTGTAAAGCAGTTGTTCTCAGTTGAGGGTTCTTTGGCCTCCCAGGAAACTCTGGGCTGCATCTGGAGATGTTTTTGCATTTTTCATTGTCGCCACATTGGGGAGGGTCACACTAGCATGCAGGGGAGAGAAGCAGGAGACTGCCAAACATCTCAGGCTGGACAGGACGCCCCACACCGCCACAGACACAGAGTAGATTATGCAGCCCCAAACATCAGTCATGCCAGGGCTGAGGAATGGCCCCACCTTCCTTCCTCCGTGGGTCTGGCCTTGCCTGATTGTGTGCAGCAGCAGGAGGATGATAGGGGGAGGGTGACAGTGCGAGTGAGGATCTGGAAGACAGTGAAGAGCAGACACCAACTGCAAAGGGAGAAAGGGCAGGGCCCTGGGGTCCTGAGGAGAGGCCTAGGATGCAATTCCAGCTGTGTGCTCTTGGGCACCATGCCTCCTCCTCTCGACCTGTTTCTGCATCTGTGAAATGGACTTGTGAGGCAATGTGAGGGTTCAAGATAAAACCAAGAAAGAACCTGGCACACAGTAAATCTACAGTGAAAAGCAGATGTTATTATTATCTTTGAGGCCTTTCAAGGCCCTGCTACGGATAGTTACAGCATCAGCAGGTGTGGACATGTGATCTTGAAGCCAAAGAAGTTTGCTGTTTGGGGCAGGGTTGCCATAGTGATGCCTGGTGCTGATGGGGTGGGGCAGCATCTCCCGCACACAGCCCAGCAGGAATGAGAAAAGCCAGGAGGACTTGCTCCTCCAGTGAGAGCCTGGGACCTCCAGGGTGAACAGAGGGAGGAGGACCACCGGACATAG